TGGGGATTACTTTAGCAGATTCCAGGAAATTGACCAATAATGGGAAACTAATGTGATATCAGAGCAATGTAACATGCTGAGAGAATCAGGCCATCCCGAATTAGTGGAAAAGGGAAAGGGGCTGCTCCAAGTTATTTTGAGTGTACATCTGAACGGTGACTCCTACGTCAAACAGTAACTGCACATACAGTCTTATTTTTCTTTCATCAGTACAGTTCTCATTTCTTCAATTTGAAAGTTACCTGGCTCCTGCCATGCACAACAGTTTTAGCGAATCCACGAAGTTTCGCCTCTTTCATGTCAAACTTTAATCGTTTTCGAATCTGAAGTAACTTTGATCAAGATCTCTCCAAATTCATTACAGAACCGCAAAGGCAGCATATGCAAAAAGAACACGAATCCACACTGCATCGCTTTACTGCTCTATCTGTTTTTGTGTTGCTAGTGAATATGTACTAAATCGACTGGATACAAGACCAGAAGTTCGGGTAATAATCTCTCAAATCTGGTTCGGGTCGACCCAGTGCTGCGAATAAACTGACATTCAAGCAATAAAGAGACACAAAAAGTCGGTTATAAGCTGGGATTCCTTTTCCGAAGTTAACTTTACGATTTACCTCATCAGCTCTTTGACGATCGTCTTTATCGAGCGGATTGCCACACAGGAAGGCAACAAGAACGCAAAGACCTTGGCCGGCTTTGAGTTGTGATGCTAAATGTAGTAACCGTTTACCGCGAGCCTCCGTTTCCGAGTCACCTTTTTTTAAATGAAAGAGAAGCAGCAACTGTGGCCTAAAAATATAAGTTGCTGTACTACACGAAAACTGCTTTTAATCTGAGCTGTGAGGCTTCAGTGGAAAAATAGAGTATAAAAAACATTCGCTGGAGATTTTCTGAAAATTGTCAGCAAGATACCTGAAAATTTTTGGATCATCTAGTTCCGCATCATCCACTTTTATCAACGCTCGCTGCGCGGTTGACAGCTGAAATGCATGCATCCCAGTGCCCCATTCTTTTGTTGCTCTGCAACAGAAGCAACGCATTATAAGCCAGGAATTGATTTTTCTTCTTTTTAAAAAACATGAATTCTTAGGTTATCGAAAACTGGCAAAATTATACATGAACAGAAGAAATCCTGAAACTATTCAGTGATACTTTACCCTCTGAATTCGACAAATTTATAAAACACGAGGCAAATGGCGCACGCAACGGCTGCATATTCCCAGTGCGTAATGAACATAATAGTGAAACAGAGAAGTGCTCCGGCTAGAGCTACAGGCCTGTAATTTTCATATTCTGTAACTTTTTGAAATAAAAAACACCCAAAAAGTAAACTGAACTGTCTGAACTGTTTTCCCATTCGCCGATATGGTGCAAGATGTAGAGCTCCCGCTTCAACACTGGCTGCAACGAACTGGGTTTCAATCGCGAGGCTTCAACAAATAAACTGCAGAAACTGCGAAAACGCCGCAACGACTGCACGGTTTGCTCGTCTCATTCCCAACAATAGTGGAGCTAAGTTTAACCGGGCCGGTT